AAATTCAAAATCTCCCGAGGACTTATTCTAGGAATTTGCAAACTCTGAGGGATGTTCTAAGATCATTTAAATCAGATACAACAATTAAAATTAAATTTGTGCTGGTAAACGGGAGGATACATATATGCGGAAAAACTTCAAGCTTTACGCGTCAACGTACTACGAGTTGTTCTAAGAATTTGCTACTTTATTCTAACGATTTGTCTTTTTGGTGAGTGAGTTCGTGTTAGTCCACAATTACCATGCAACCTATTCAATTTCACGAATTCCACCGAAGCAGGCATGTTGCAGTGCATTTGGCGTGAAGCCTGGTGTAGTGTGCACGATTACGACAACGTAGCACTCCATTTTACGCCCTTTTTGGGTTACGGTAGCCCTTCATAAATGCTGAAGAAGGCTTCTTGTAGGGGAATGGCCTACCCACTTTGGAGCCCTACACTACTCAAAGGCTTAGTCCTACTGCGATCTAATTAGTGCGAGGGCGCAGACGAGCAGGATGCAGGCGCCGAATAGCGCTAAGAACAAATCAGGACCCCGAATAACCCCTATACAAAAGTTTAAAACGAATTTAGTGGGAAACAGTTGTGGCGCCACCTGGCCCCAAATGGCGCCAGCGTCCAAAATGAGTATCATATCCGTAATGAGGACAGAAGCGTTTCGTAAAAGATGTTATACCCTTATGCAGAAGTCTATACAACAATATGAACCCACAAAATGCAAGCACAAGCGGCCCTATTAAACCCTCGTTCACCGATAATTCGTAAAACACCATTTTAGTGGTATCGCCCGGAATCGTGTAAGTCACAAAACGTTTTCAATAATGAGACAGAATTAGTGATTCACCGCATTTATCAATACAATGGGTGTGAGCGCGGGCAAGTAAGGAATCAGAAACTTACAAATTCACGCATGCAAAAAAGCTGCTCCAATCGCGCGTTCTTCCATACCGTAGTTGTTTTCGCTGCGGGTGCGCCAGCCTGCCGCGCGATGTCGCGTTGCGAAGAGCGAAAAAGTCGCGTTCTGTCCTAAGTACCCACACCCGACTATGGAAAGAGAGAAGAAGAGAAGTTGTTCAAGTGAGCTGTTTCTCTACCGGAAAAAAAGTTTATAGACTGGTTCCTCGTCGGTGAGCGCAGCCATGATGTTATTCCCTTGCCTGCCTGTGCAGAGCACGACTTAGCTGCATACATATATTCTTCACCAAAGAAAATAGGTGTTCCGAAACGATCCATCTTCTCAGCGCTCTGCAATGTATTGTAACGGCAGACGTCGAGCGTTATCTCAAGGTTGGGGAAGACTAGGAAGCAGGGATGGAGTTTCTATAAATACTTCCCCATCGCGTGCTTAGTGAAAAAGATGTGGAAATTTCGGTCTTGAACTGGACTCCCAAAAGTTTGTCCGTCAGCTTAAAACGACCACCTACTCGTAATTTCATGTTGTGCACAGTCAACTTAATACCGCAGTGGTTAGAGCACTCCATCGTGCCTCATTTTACTTGAAGATGGAGAGGACACTTGTTCCAGGCACCCGGCATACTTCCTTTTGCAGATACGGTGTGGAGGAGTAGGATGAACCATGTATGCCGTACTCATCAAGCGCCTTCCAGGCCTCGATTGGTACCCCATCTGCACCAACCGAATTTACAACTCTTATCTCCCCAGTTCTCAACGAACTTCATTTTCTGCCCACAGTGAGATGGCACCAGTCATTGCCTGCACTCGTGTGTCGTCCTCGCAATGAAATCCCTCGTTAAGAAAATCGGCGAAATATCATTTTCACCTCTATTCGACTTCGCCTTATTTCCTGAACCAATCGATGACAACGTGCCTCGCCGGCGGGCAACACTTTAATACAGAATTAAGCTTGATTTGACAGTTTTTCGTGTTTCAATGCAACCCCTGCACTCTCCTAGGTTCGAAAAATAATACAGTCAATACCTATAATGAAATTTTCGTAGGGCAAATAACTACTGAAGAAAAAATATGAACACAAACGGAGTCAACGGGTTTAGATGAAATCAGTGCGGCTTGATCACACTTTTACTCCACCCCCCCCCACCTTAACTCTTAAGCAGCTCGGTGCCGAATTTTACAAACTTCTTCACAATTTAGTTCTTCAACTTCCCGCACGAGGCGTCCATTACACATTTACTAGGTACTGGGCCTCCTCACACCCTGGAGAGGATCTGTATTTAGAGGGTGAGAATTATGTCGAGGAGGATTCGCATTTCAGCAGCTGTATAGATTGACATTTCACACATCCTGCTCGAGTTTGAACAGAATTTTAGTGTGTTAGGTAGTACCAAGCAAGATTCAACAACACCATGACACCATCAAGCACTGGTGGGTGAAGTGGATCGTGTGGTGGAGACCGAAGAGGAAGCAGAGAGGTCGTACTAGTCAAATCTCCTCACACCACCATATCCACCCCGGGGATTTTTGTAGAGATTCCAGGTAGAAGATTGATAACCCATTCTTAGCTTCCTCTTTAAAATCGCCATTCTACTGATTCTGTAAGTCTCCTTATGTTGGCTCACTTCTGAATGTTCCTAAATGCTGGTCGTGGTTTTTGGCGACGTCATAACTTTGCGAGTCAATCAGCGATTCGCTCGATTCGCTAGCGATTCCCCAGCGATTCGCTAATAGAATCGCAAAGTATGACGTCGGCCTTTTAAATGCCTTGAGCGCCCCATCCCCATAGCCGATGCCTTCCCTCCCCTGACCCTCGAGCCGAATTGACTGAACGCCAACATAAGAATTAACGACTGCTTCGATCAGAACGAGAAAGGACAACGTGCAAGTGAAGGCTGAAACATCAAATGCAGAAGTGTTTGTGAAGATCGACTATGCACAAGTGCCACTCAAGTTTTATGGATGAGTTGGCAAATACGCAAATCACAGACATAAACAGAGAAGCTCGATGCTTGTGGAACGAATATCTGACAAAGGAAGATTTGACGAGCAGCATTTTTGAGACTGCATATTTGCCGCACCGCATTCGGCTGTGCCTCGCTCCCAATAATCGATTCGTTCCCTGGCTGATCACAGCCGTTGCGGTTTTCTTGCCCTTCAAATCTGGTTACTCTTTGAGCTTTCGTTGATCATCACCGCAAAAGCACCTCATACAACTTCCGCACATCCAATGGTTCTCACTGCCCAGAAGGGATTATGTGCAGCCCACACATATTCGACCCCTTGAAAAGCCACTACTAGAAGAATGGCTGCTGCGCTAACAGTAATCATTAGAAATTTCAGAATGGCCATTCTCACTCATGACTAGCCTAGCAGACGCGCCATGGAGCGCTACATCAAGCCGCAAACCGTTAAAGCCACTCCATGGAAACGAAACTGGAGTGAACTGTAAGCCGCGGTCACACTTGACAGCGTATTGCAGTTCAAGTGTGATATAGATACGTATCGATCATACGGCCACAATGTCGCCTTATCGATACGTATCTACTTCACGAAAAATATCAAACATGACCACGGCTCAGAAGACAGCGAGATTCTGGTGATTTATGTCAGATAAACGGATAAAATATTATCTGCAGGTCTATCTCTGGGACGCAAGATAACTCACAATTTCAGTACTGATAAGCTGCTAAAGCCTTCGAAAAGTATGATGAACACACCAACTAATGTGGAACTCAAGAGACCAGCGTAATACTCAATACACTCTGAAATACATGGAAACAATACCACTCCAAAAAAAGGATACATTATATTAACATTTTATTTTGCAGGTTAAGGGATATCAACGTAGTGCCTGTATTAAAACGACAGTGTAAGAAGTTGATAGCCTTCAGTTAATGTGGACTTATGGGTAGGTTTAACACGTACATGACCCCAAGCAGAACAACGCATGCTGTTTAGCTTTTAAAATGGGTAACGAAATATATAAAAGAACGCGAAAACTGCGCTTAGTTGATTTTTCATTGAAAATCAACCATAAGGATAAAAAATTATAAATAGAGTTCTTCAGGTGCGCCTTCTTTCTTCCGATACAGGACATTCTCCTTCGCTTTCTGGAAATCTTCCATAGTAACACGCATACGGCGTTCACGAAGGGCTAGAAGGCCGGCCTCCGTACACATAGCCTGAAACAACGTCAGCTTGAAGCTAGTTACAAATACTCCCGGAAAAGAAGCTCAATAAGAAAATGGAGTAAAATGACAACATCATCGTACTTGAAATCAACCAAAGCGCATTCTTAGCCGTTGCTCCAACGGCAATTCAACGCAGCTCTGTGGCACGCTCAATCGACATGTATAGTGGTCGCGCCACACCGCTTACTCAAAGGTCGCCAAAGCACCCATGAAGTAAATGGTTTCGGTTTTGCCTACCTGCTTTTTAGATACTCATTCTGTTGGCGAAATAGCAAATACAACCCCGTTCCATGAGCGTGAGCGGTTCAAGCACTGAGAGCAGAACATAATTCAGATTCGAGTAGTACGCACCTTTATATCCGCTCCACTTAACTCGTCCTTCGCAAGGATGAATTCTTCAAGGTTCACGTCCTCACCCAAGGTCATTCGGGAAGTGTGTATCTGCAATGTATTGCTCGTTATCCTCGCCAATATTTCGTGCTCTCCAGTTCTAGCTTACCTGGAAAATTCTTCGTTTCGTTTTCTCATCAGGGAGAGGGAATTCAATCTTCCTGTCGATACGTCCAGGTCGAATAAGAGCGGGATCTAGCGACTCGATACGGTTAGTAGCCATCAGCACCTGAAAACAACCACATCGATGCTTAACATACGGATGGTCTGAAGAAAGTTCGACCATTCAAATATATCGTGAAGCAAAAATCGCCAAAAAGCTGTCAGAACCAGTCTAAAAATTATCTTGTTCACAGATGGGAAGATTCACCGATTTGCGGTCACTCATCAAGCGCATGATCGTTTTGATTCTAATTGTGAGCGAAACATATCACAAATAAACAACAAGTAAAAAAGTGTTCTGTGTGGGTGATACCGCTGAGGAACTATCTGGAATTGCAGAAAAATAAAGTTTTGCCTTATACTCCAATATCCTTGGAAACAGGCGATGGTGTTTCCAAGAGGATGGAGCTTATACACATAAAGGATAAAGGATAAAGCATTTGCCGTTGATCAATCCCTTTTTGGGATGCGGCACGCATTCTACTTCCATTTGTACATTCGCAGTGGCGTTTGAATGCGATGTGGCCTATACAATGACTTGCGGGGGCCAGCCGATGTCAAGTCAGTGTTTTTATCCTCCCAGACAAGTCTGGTACCAATTAACCGACCCCGGAGGGATGGAAGGCTTGGTTGGCCCGGGCGACTCACGACCCAGGATTTGATCCCCGGACCGCTCGCGTGGTAAGCGCGCCACTTGTCACTACACCACTTCCGCCCCTATACACATAAACACAATGAATTTAGAGCATTCCAAAGCAGGCTTTCTTCATAGAATCAATATATAGTCACGGTTGATGCCTTTCTCAACGACTTCACTACTGTGTTGAGATCTTTTCAGAGCCTTAGGTCTTTTTAATCAGTTTCGGGGAGAGGGGAATTTACAAACTTATTTCAACTGAAAGCTTCAATGTAGCCTCGATCTAATGTAATTTTGCTGCGTTTAGAGAGCAGCTTTCTAGAACTCATTTTTGAATAGGCGTACCTTAACATCACCACGTGAGTCAAAACCATCAAGTTGATTGAGCAGTTCGAGCATAGTGCGCTGAATTTCACGCTCTCCTCCCGAGTTGGAGTCATATCGCTTTGTGCCAACTGCATCGATCTCATCAATGAATACAATCGACTGAAATGATATCACCTTCATAAGTATCATTCAAATGTAATTCGATAAATTGATAGAGAAGACATCTAAAATTGACTACTAGGGAAGAGACTACCAAGGAACAAGCACCGGTTAGGCAAAACTAGCGGTGCACCAATACTAATAATATTAATGTATTTCGAAGTCAGCCTGAATTACTCTAAACTGACCATGAATATTACTTATTACAAGCATGACAATTCAAAAAATTAGCAGCTTTCAAAATGATCGCTTCAAACCTCCCTCAGACATTTGACAAACTTTCCGCATGCGGTCCGCAGGTAACCATAAATTTCGCCCTAAGATTTCAGAAGCTCTTTTTAAGAACGTAAATTGAAGCCTGGAAGATGTATGTAGGTAGGTGAACCCTGCCAGATGCTACCGACAGGAGGATGCCCAGAAGAGAAAAAAGCACTTGCTTCCGTCAAAACGGGTAAAAATCAAAACAAAAGCTTACAAAAATATTCTGGAAAACGTTTTCGACCATAAGCCTATTCCCACTTTCGAGACCTGCAGTTCACTTCAGCAATATTACCCATAAGTACAAGGAGCAAAAGTGGTCGAGTAATGGTGCATTAGCGACTCCTCGCTTTCGTTAAACACAATGTTCGATCCGATTCTCCAGACCTAACCCCAATGGTTTTTTTGTATCGGTCTTCATGAAAGGAAACGTCGCTCTTCTGGAGACCTGAACATTGACTTTCTTGAAGTAGCGCTTATAAAATGCTACCAATCAGAGAACGAAGTCAATGATCAGTGCTTCCGTGCCAAACAGAATGTTCATTGAATATTTGAAAGTGTGTGAAAGCCAAAGACCACCTTTAGGAACCCCTACATAGGTCGTGGTTGTTGTGAACAGTACTCGTTGGTAAATCGATCTGAAAGTTGATTCCAGAATACAATTGAAATACTGGTCCAGCAGTAATTTTACCCCATCTGTCTGAGAAGTCAAACGTGGCGCTTCGATTAATAGCCACCCAAATTCGTCGCGATTCTATTTCTGGTTTCATATTCACCTGGATGCAAAACTACGTAAAAAAAACCATCGATAACATTCAGTAAAGGTGACATTTTTACAAGAAATATAAGAGAATAGAAAGATTTCAGATTCTACCCTTGAAAACAAAGTGTGCTAGCCATCAAAAACCTAGACAATACCAAATGAGCAAGCTTACCGGAGCGTTCTCCTCAGCAACACGGAAGAGTTCTCGCACCATTTTTGGACCATCACCAAGATACTTTTGTATAAGTTCTGAGCCAACAATTCGTAAGAAGGTGGCCGACGTCTGATTGGCGACCGCTTTGGCTAGTAACGTTTTGCCGGTTCCGGGACAACCGTAAAGGATCACACCTAAACACTTTGCATACCTCGACACATAAAATTGGTTTTGACAAAAAGAAACTACCTTTTGGAGGTTTGATTCCCATCTCTTCATAATACTCAGGATGTGTTAACGGCAACTCGACTGACTCCTTTATTTCCTGGATTTGTTGATCTAAACCACCAACATCCGCGTAGGTTTCCTAAAACACCGATAAGATTCAATAAAGAAATGAGAAAAGTGCAAACAACAACACCAACCTGTGGTGCTTTCTCAAGCTTCATCACCGAAACCATAGGGTCAGTATCATCAGCAAGTACTCCAATTACAGCATGATTCTACAAATCAAGCACTGCACACAAATTCATTAATGGACAAGAAAACCGAGAGCCATATTCTGAAATACGTATAAACTTGATTGAAGTGTTCACTTACTTTATGATTGAGTAGTACAGCACACCCTGGCTCTAGCTGTTCTTTGTCGACGAATGACATTATGTTAACATAATGCTCGCTTCCTACGTTCTGAAACAAAGATGATCGGTTAAAAACATGAAGGTTCAGAGATCTAAAACCGCGTATTTCTGGAAAGAAATCATACATACTGTGGAAACAATGGCATGTTGGTCATCGATTATCTCTTCTAATGAACCGACAGCCATTGGTGTACCACGGAGTTCATCGACCTAAATCAAATAGCAATAATGACAATCCATAAATGAGGAAACAGATGAGAACCAAATAATGCGTAGCTGCTATAAAAAGGAATAAAAGCAAGGTGAAAAGCAGAGGATCATTAATGGGCTTTTTTTTAAACTTCCAAGATAAAGAGAATGCAGAGAACACATTCGTTTCCAGAATATTTTGACGATCCTGACATCTAGTAAAATCTCCTGCTAGTGCCCAAGGCAGCGAGCAGGCAGTTTGCAAAAAGCAGCTAGATCAACGACTCACCTTCGTTCTTTCCTCCTCCTGGCGCTCTTCCTGTGGCTTGAGGCGTTCTTGATTTTGAATAAACTCCTGTTCCATCAAGAGATAGTCTTTTATTCGCTCGCTTTTCAAAAGCTTCAGGCGACATCGTGCATGAGGAGTAACTGGAACAAAACACGGTAAGATAATCGAACCGTATGGGCATACCGTATACACTATAATCTTATTATTTTTTGAAACGTACTTGCAGGAAGTTTACTGGCTGTGTCAGGGCCCTTGGAGCCCTTCTTTCTCTTGCCGATTCTCGAAGGAATTGGCGCTTCATACTTCTTTTTCTTTTCTTTGTCGGCATCACCACCACCTCGTTCGTTTCCTTTGCCACCGAAACCAGACTGCTGTTGTCCCATTTCTCAAAAGAAGAACATTTCCACAAATCATTTCACAAAACTGGGAAACTATCAAGATATGCGCTATCAAGAAGGATTATTGAAATGCGAAGAGTACACAACATCATCCCAGAAATAAAGTAAACAACAACAATGAATGCTGGAACATCATCATTGAAATTATAGCGAAATTAGCACTGCACGAATAAAGAGGCATTGTGATGACTTTGACTGTACCAAGTAACTCGTCCATCCCATTTCTTCGTCCGCCGCGCCACAATGCCTGCACGGCCTACTTCGAAGGACATAAATCAGGTAATGGAGAGCTGATCAAAATGACACCTATGAAACTTCTCAGACATTCCGCCTGCCACACAGACGGGTTGCGAGGGCTCCAAATTCTCCATCATGTACGAGCTCACGGTCGCGCTTGTGGTACGCAAGTGGAGCATTTCGGACCTTTAAACACAATTGATGACCGACAGCCGCTTTGTCAGTTTCGACATAGAGAGGCCAGCGACGGTTTCCGGATGGAATCACAGAAGTACATTGAAGTGGCAGCGTAGCAAATCCAGCAGTAATTGATGCGTAGAAGTTATCCAGGCATGGGAGTAGTGAAGTTTGACCGAAAGGGCCGTATTTGTAGCTTTGGTTCACTTGTTCTTTTCGCATCTCACATGCTGTTCAGCATATAATAAATCATTCAAGGGCCTATACCCATTGCGGGAGGGGGGGGGATATCATGAACAGATTCTCTGCCGAAGTGAATAGCCAAGCCAAATCAGTTTACTATAACTTCGATATAAACACGAATGGTTTTGATTACGTTGTTGTGGACGTCAACAGCAATCTTTCCTGTTTGTTTCGCGAAGTTGTGGTCTTGCCATCAGTACTTCCTACTTTTATTACTTATTCCTACTTTTATGACATTCAAAAGGAAACATTGATAACATACGGAGAAGCATACGTAAGGCTTAGGAAACCTTTGGTGAAACCTCTGTCAATATCCAATTCTGAGGGCGTCGTAAATGGGCATTTTGAGGTGAGATAAGAATCGAACGAATGAAAGACATCAGAATAAAGATCAATTATCTGGGAAGAACTTCCACATGAGCAGAAAATGGGTTACATGGATACGGGTACATGGGTTGCTGGTCCTCCGCGGCCTGCAGAGTAGGGCTCATCCAGGGGGACGGGAAAAAGGCTTTTTGCTACCCGAAAAGTGAATTATCACACTCTGCTGTATTGACAAATTCTTTATTGTGATGCTAGTTGTAAAGAGCCTTCAAATCTGTTGAACAACTTCATAACAATCCACACGAGCAACATCAGAAGTATGTGCCACGGGACATTGTGCTCTAACATCCAGCTCAAACAGCTTCTCGCCGAACCTTGGACCATTATGAAGTTGTCCGGAATGCCAGTTGGTGAGGCCTTGCAAGATTAGAGTGCAAAGACTACCATCGGTGAAATCGGTCGAAGAATTTAGGTAGCTTGCTTCTGGATGGAACACTTACTGTAGGCCACTTTAGCTCGACGGCGACAACGGGTGGCTTCGTACTCTGGAGACAACGAAGGCAGTGAACAAGGGCTTGCTTCTGCTCATGAAGGGACATCTCAGGTGCTTTGCCATAAGACTCAAATCCAGGGTCAGCGCGGCGTTCGGCTCATTCGAATTCTTTACAACCCCCTACTTTACTTGATTCCGAGACAAATTATACGTTCCACCACCTCTACCAACTTGTTCCTTGCTGTCGACCCGACGGGGGAATGTAACATGTTTCAGAAGGCATGTTCTAACTTTGCTCATTTTTCATTTCTTTTTGAAATTGTTGTCAAAAATTCACGGGAGAACCTGCTCTAACGCAATTCCTTTTTCAGGGGACCGCATCCCGCAATTACCGACAAGAAGCCCCTACAGATTCGAACTTTTCACCGTGTGTCAAACCAACACATATGCCCTTCCCTCTCAGAAATCGCAAATGTGCCCCATTTGCATCGGGATCGGAAGGGTGGACGCTTGACGCTGCTCCCAGTAACGACGGCCCCTGTGCTACGAAGTTTGTTAATGTGCAATATGAGCAGAAAGTCTTTTGGCCTCTCCCTTCGTACAGGATGGGGCATAAATATGAATACTGATCTTCGAATGGAGACGTTGCTGGCGCCCGCTCGAGCAAATCGACGATCACGAGATAACAGGTGATACAGGTGATACTTCCCGTTAGACTATGGCGGGCCCCCCCCCCCCCAGGAGGCCCGTCGCGCGGCAAGAAGGCAAAGTCAGCGGACGAGTCGCGCGCGTACTATAGGGATTTCGCGTCAAGTTAAATAGAGTGTCCCACTGCACGTCCTACATCGCACACCACGCGCTGCAACTCGTCCGCCGACTCTGCCTTCTTGCCGCGCGACGGGCCTCCTGGGGGGTACCCTGAACTTCGAGAAAGACCTCTATGCGCGCGAGCATCCAAGTCCTATGCCTTCAGGCTACTACCTGATCATTACAGGCGATCAGATGGCCCGATTTCAGTCCAGAAGTGAAGGACGAACTTTCCTTAGAAGGCAATATGGGGTATTATGGCGACTGGGCTGAAGTATGGAGATGCGAAATGGAACGACAGTGGAGAAAAAACGAAAAGAAACCGTCGACAAGGCCGAAAACGAAACCCCCCTCACTAGCAGTGAAGGAGGCTTGCTCGGGGGAGAGCCACGTCCAAACGAGTTTTCCGGATATGCCAGCCGTTCCATCGGTTGATACGGCAATCAACCTAGCTGATCTCACACGTTAGGCCAGCCACGCACCACATCCCGCGGTGGGCGGGACCAGCTGATGAAACGAACCCATCGCTGTAAGTAGTAGGCCAGAGGTCTTGCCGCGCATCTCGAGTCAGGAGCGTGGCGCCACCCCTCTGACTAGTCGCGGGCCATAATACTGATTGCAAAGGGCCTTCCATTGACCGGCTAATCCTGACTTCGATGCGCTTTAATATTGTAAGGTAATGCTCAAGCTACCCCCTGCGCGGAAGAATAGCCTTTCCTTGCACAAGTACCCCGTCTGGTCGACAATCGCAGTAGAAACTTCGTATGAAACGGGAAGAAGTAATTGGAAAATCCTAGTGGCTGGAAGTTCGCGCGGGTCGAGAAGGACCGCCCAATGAGAAGTTAATGTAATGGCTGGTCTTCAGATCGTACACAATTCATTCTGAAGAGATGAAAATGGAGCAAGCGCGTGATCATCCTAGGATTTGCACCATGGAAGCACTGAGCGCGACGCGAGGTGGAATCAGGGAGGGAAGGCAGCACTGAGTGGATCTGTTGGCAGCACATCATGCGCTGCTCCTGAAGCTGCCAGAGCATCTGCTAGTCTTTTTTGACTAAGCTCTCGTCAATGTCTAGAACAGTTGAACAGCTAAATCGAAAAGCGAATTTGCGATGAAAAGGCAACTCATTTGGATGAGGTAGAGACGGTCAGACAGCGAGAGCAAGGCGTACCTCACCGATGGCGCGCGGAGAGGGCCACGCTAGATCGCCGGGGCGTTGCCTTCGCTCGGTGCGCACGCACCATTAGGGATCCACCTGACTCCCCCTCGGTAAATCTCTCCTTCTTCATTATTCGACCTTATCGTGGAATCCTCTTCAGACGGTGTACTATAATAGACAGACGGACAGCTCTGCCATCTCACAAATCTCTAGACCTGACCCATATCTGCGCATAGGTAAGGGCATTGGGTCCCCGAGAAATGCAATCACTGGCGGAAGGTTCAATAGACAGATGTGCGTCATAACAAAATACAATGTTTGTCTCGACATGGTGTTCTGCCTTAGTGTGTACGGCAAAAATAGTAATTTGTTTCGTTGCGGCCTGGCTGAAATTTTAAGCAGCTTGTTGCAGGCGATGACGCTGCGTAGAGCACACCACTGTCCGAAATGTATCATCCATATCAGAGATCAGCAGAGTCTTTTGCGCTGGTTTCAGTGACCAGCGCCCTTCCCTCCACTGCGCACTGCTTTACTGATCCAGTGAGTGGGCTTTTTATAGGAATTCTACATCGATTTTATTAGGTAAAATATCATTCATGTCATTTTTCAGTAATTCTGTAATCATATGAATACATTTTTTTGTGTGGATCTCAAATTTTCCACCTCTTTCATGGCTGGTTAGAGCAACGTGTGCATGCATGAGCCTTTGCAAGATTGGCTCATCGGAGTGAAACTGTGGCGGAGGGAAAGTGGAATTGTCACCTTTACCGATCTCACAGCACGATTAGGCAATGGGGTTCATACTCAATGAGTGCGCACTGGGCTCGACTGTTAGCCATTTCTGGCGTACCATTTTCTCAATGGCGAGCCCTGCAACAAAGGCCGACCCTTTTCTTGCCCTAGAGGTGACATACGGCCCACTTTGTCAGGTATTCCTCAATGGATGAGGGCGGAAGTGGTGTAGTGGCAAGTGGCACGCTTACCACGCGAGCGGTCCGGGGATCAAATCCTGGGTCGTGAGTCGCCCGGGCCAACCAAGCCTTCCATCCCTCCGGGGTCGGTTAATTGGTACCAGACTTGTCTGGGAGGATAAACACTGACGTTAATCAATCCCAAAAAGGAACTGATTAACGGCAAATGCTTTATTTATCCTCAACGGACGTCTCACCCTTCTCAACCAAAGTACCCTCTGCTTCAAAAACCAGAAGCGCGTCGAGTGCAGACCACACACCACAAGTGACGACGGCCTCACAAAATGTAAATGTTTTCTGCCAATGAAATGATTAGCCTGTTGCAGTTGTATTCTATCAGTTGTCACTAATTACAACTATCATTTACCAACTATCAGCTATCACTATGAATCACTACTTACCAGATTTACTTGGAGGCCGTCACTTGTGGTGTGTGTCTGCACCCGACGCGTTGCTGATTTTCTGAAACAGAGATTATGAGTGTGGGCTCCACCTCTGCCTGACCAACAGTTGATCACCCCCACGATCCTTCCTATTGACTTGCTGTTTCAGTGATCAGCAACAGTTACTTTA